CCCCCCCCCGTTTTAAAATTTTAGCTCACATGCGCATAGATCTTGCGTACGAGCTCCCGAAAAAAATATGCAAATTTCCTTGCCGAGGAGCAGTTTCGTCAACCAGACACGATAGAAAGGTGAAACTTTAGAGGGATGTTCTCTATGCATGTATGAGCTAAAGATTTTAAATTCAGCCAATTGCACGCGCTTACACCTCTAGTACGGCTACGACCTAAGCTGAGTTCCAGTTTGTACTTGCTTCATGAATTAGAGCACTTCAAACATATTTGTCGTGAAGTGGCTATTTCGCTTATCGGATAATGTGCGAGACTGAAATTTCGCTAGGATATTCTACTTCCATGTGTGTTCTTAATTCAGTCTTGAGGTGAAATTCCCTGCAGGTAATTATGTGAAATACTCAATTTTATCGCAAATTCAAAAGCGAGTGCACTTTACAGATTTCATAATCCTCTTTCGATTTCTTTCAAATTTGCGTTTTTTCAATGAGCTAGCATTTGCCAGAAAAACGACCAGATTTTATGTAAACCCAGACTGGAAAGCACCAGGCCAGCCGGTGTAGTCATTTGTATTTGTGCAGTTTCCTATTGATGTTTAATGCTGTGCTGCTGCAATTTGTGCTCGCATTGGCTCCAGTGAGTGTCTTTTGCGCCGACGCTCATATCCACACAGAAGTAGTGAAGTGCTCCTTTGGTGAAATGTACATTTACACAGATACTTACTTTATGTCATTCATAATTAAGGAATATTCACTTAGAAATGTAGTTTACCATTCCGTTCGGATAGAAAGATACGATGATGCCAGCAGTTTTGGAGCCTAAATTTTGCTGTATCCGCATGCGGGAAGTGAACATTAGTGGAGCGTGATATCGTGGGCGTAGTGCCATATGGGTTTTGCTAATATTATCGAAAAATAACATTTCTCTTATTTGACAAATTAGAGAGAGGGGGAGAGATAATGATGATGATAGTAGTATAGCAAATTGAACACGCCCGTATGCGGGACATATACGTAGCCGGAAACTCATTTCAAAGCTACAGACGTGCACGTGAACAGCCAACGCACTCAGCAAAGTACTGCTTCCTGCCGGTCCGGGTACCAAGTTACTTGAGTTTCAATAGTTCTGGAACTAACAATTCACTTGCGACGCACGCGAAGGCTGGGCGTGTTCCAAAGCTTAAACTGTAGTATTTTCGTCGAACATGGGCACAGAAAATCCTTGTATAGTCTCAGTTTCTCAGCACGTTTGGTTAACGACGTGAGTTCTTGCTACTTAGAATATTTGGCGTATCGGAAATCGAGACCCAGACGTATACCAAAGCTCATTTTAAGTCTGTTTTTACAATTATAGGAAATAAACATTTTCGTGAAGTTTGAACTTTCTAGTTAATTTAGTCCCAGAATTGGCATTTTGTCAACAACAACTTTGACGTGTCCGTACACGAAGTGTGTGTCTGTCAAAGCTGAATTTAAACTCCTTGGCTCACAGATGCGCGGAGAATATCCCTGAAAAGTTCCAGCTCTCTATCTAGTCTGGTTCCCGAGACAGCTTCCCGCCAAAAAATTTGCATATTTTTCAAGACATCCGTACGCAGTACCCGGGCTTAGGCGGACGATGATATTAAAACCGAAGGGTCGTGCCTGGCGTAGGCACTTGCTCTCGAAGTTTCAGCTCTTTAGCACTTCTGTTTCTCTAATTGAAAATGGGTGACAAAAAGTGCGAACACACACACATACACACAAGCACACAGCCTCTTGTCAATACGTATTTTTGCAATTTGCATATACGCAGAAACGCATAAAAACTGATAATCGTGTACGCTGAAAGTCCATGCGGCTCTACAATGCAGCAACTTCATCCCAGTCCATGCGCTTTTCCTCTGCATGGGGAAAGAGGTCAAAATATAGTCAATATAAGCCCAAGTGTTAAACTACAGCGTTGAGACCATTACTGCTGTTAGTAATCTGCAAGTTTAGCGCAAAAGCGCATGATCGCACCGGCAAGCCTGGTGGGTCCCAGTTTGGGTTTAGCATCAGCACTCTTCTGGAGTGGCCGTCTTTATTACATTTATATCAGCAGTTCCATAATGGTAATCCAGAGAACTTGTGCGTACTTATGCAAGTTCTCGTTATGCGGTCTTGCATATATGCAAATGCAAAAACGCATATTTTTGGCTGGAAAATTGCTAACTCGGGAACCAGTGAAGCTGGAAATCAGTTGAACTTAAAGATTTCGAATTCAGCTCCTAGTTGTGCATGGTTCTTGCGTGCTAGCTTATGAAAGTTTTTTGTGGGAAAATTGCTAACTCGTGGACCAGAAAGGCTGGAAAGTTGAAATTTTAGCGGAATATTCCTTGTCTAATTATCATGTGGTTGCACAATTAACTTCTTAAACTTCGAGGACTAGTGTATCACAAATTCTAGCTATTGGGATTCCAAGTGATCTTAGTACAGCACGAAATGCAGCGAAAACGTGTGGTCGTAAGAGTACGCCAAGTGCGCGTCATCAATGATTATTTGACAAAACATTTTAGTTTTATTTAAATGCACTATTCTATTTTTCAAACTACCTTAGCAGTTACCGGAATTTTTTTGTGAGAGGCTACTTACCTAAGTTGTAATCCCGGGTGCACACTTCATTCACACCCAAAATTTTAAGTTATCGAGTTAAGATCGAGGCTTTCTTATCAATTTTGGTACGGCAATCTAAGGAGCCGGAACTACAACAAATTCATGAAATAACCTGTAAGAGTCAGCCTGGCGAGTGCACTTTCCACCATTTCCACATGGATTCAGTTTCTTGGAACAAAATTCCACTTTCTCCTCGCAGAATTGTCCAATGTGTAAGGGCGGACATTTACACTCGTACGTATTTATCTAGAAATCATTAAGTCCATTTCAAAAGCATATGCTTTATCTGGAGGTTGCCAAAGCTATAACTTACTAGGTCAACACATGTTGCACCATTCTGGCACTTATTATGTGCGCAGTCGTCGATATTTTGCTCGCAACGCTGACCCTCAAATCCTCTCGGGCAGTGACACGTGAAACGCCCATCTTGAATTACCTGAAAAGCATATTTAACAAGAATCTTTGAAAGCACGATTTCCCACAAAACCTTGACAGCATAAGCAACTAAGCTGAGCTGATACCTTGCAAGTAGCGCCATTCAAGCATGGCTCGCCGTAACATGCATCAATCTGATCCTCGCAGTACTTTCCATGATATCCTGCCAAACACTTGCATAAAAATCCTCTTCCGCCCTTTGTTTCACATGTGGCGGAATTCTTGCATGGACTATCTATGCACGCGTCACATTTTGCCAATACATTTTTCGGCACTTTCTCATCGCACCTGATAATGAGTGATGATGTGCACCAGTGGACCGATGTCAACGCTTGTTTTTGCACAGTCTCACCAGCAAAACACTTCAGTTTAGACTTTTAAGCGAGTCTTCAGGTGAACGATTCGTATGAAAGACCTGTGTTAAATGAGTTCCGATATATAAAAGAATATTCATCTTCAGAACCTGTGTCGTATGTGAGACACAGCAAGAGTTAAAGTGTGATTTCATGCTTTCGGAGCTGAGCATGATTGGGAATTATAAGCGCGGAATTTCATCCTTTTGGTTTGACTTACTGTAAATTTAGAAAACACGGAAACTTAAACACACGGTCTTCATAGCATTTGCTTTTCTATTTAAACATCACGGTTCCTATCCCTGACGTGAGTGGGTTTTGAGATATACCGTTGCGATTTCATTATGCTGTGAAGTGTTGAAGAAATGCAAATCTCCAGTTCACTAAAAAGCGGAAGTATTACCCGAGCGGTCGTTTTTCAAAAAATCCATGTATACAAATTAACTAACGTTCATTTACATATAGAACTGGAGTTCAAGTCCGGGTCGCGATGGATTTCTTAACGATTTTTGGGTTGAGGAGCTGCTTGAGGCTGTGGTTGAGGTGCTCGACAGCTGAGTTTAAAA